GATAGATAATCCTCGTTCAGAGAAATGAGCACAATCGTATCCAAGTATACTCAGATCCATTCTATAATGAATGAACGTAAATTAGTGTCAAAAGTGCTAAAAAGTACAGATTCCTACTGTTCCGGGAGATTAACCAAAGCAGATTCCCGTAATAATGGCAAAATTTCTACAGTGAAATCAGACTTTCGGAAATTCTTCTGGACGATAATCTCCACCTAAAACAAGAAAGTTCTGATGTTGCAAGCAGAAACAGTGAAAAAAATACCTGATCCCAAACGGAATTTGAATTGAACCGCGCATAAGATTTCCATCTCGCTAGCATCTCATGGCAAGCCTGAAGATAAGAAACCAATATTATAGAGTAATAACATCTTGTGGACCTAAGGTTACCTTGTGGGAATGGCTCGCATCCGCCCATATTCCATTACCGGAACTACGTACAACTACAATAAATGTCCTAGTTGGTAGAAGTCTGTGAAACTCCTCCACAGCACTAAGAACTTCAATTGCAGTTTGCCTAGTTTCGGACGCATCGCCGTCCTAAGTAAATTTTTGTCAATTTTATGGAGATAAGTTATACTTCATTTCTTTTGTACTTCACAAGTTTAACTGAATGAATATAGTTAGATCTTACTTGAATTGTGGCCGCAATTACGATTAATTTCCAAGCATTTTCGTAACCCTGGATTTGACGTATTGAATCAGCAATGACCCTACAAATCGTTTTATTTTATTATAATGCGGGCGTAGTTGAGCACATTCGAATGTAGAATAGGCATTTGACAAATTTCTCTTTTCTCTACAAATTTCATGTAAATTTCGGAAAAGGTACAAGCTCAACTTTTGGGCAATTACTATTCATTGATAACTCCACGGAGTAAAAACAAACACTGTTATAAATCAAGAATAGGTAAAAAAAATTCTGCAACAGAAGTCAAAATGCAGGTTAGTCAGCTTCGCCTAAGTTGGCGATGGATATCGTCGCGTCTAGCAACCACGCGCTTTTACGACTTTAAGCCCATTTAAACTTATCAAAGAAGTTGGCAAAAGCAGGATGTTTCGACGAATTTTAAAGTATATTTACCTTTCTAAAACAACAAGGCAAAATTTTTTTAGATAGATGGCAAATATTTTAAACATGGACGATCTAGGATCGTATGAGGAAGCTGAGTTAGAAAAGCATGAATGGGAAGGGCTAGCATATTAGAGTGAAATATTTATGCAACTTAAAAAGTGAAAATTGTCGAAAAAATCAGAAAACAAGCTCTAGTAAGGTTGAAGAGCTGTTGAGTTTTGCAAAATTTGTTAAACATAGATATTGGGTCGTTATGAAAGTTTCCACAATTTTCCGAGTTCTTGGCCATGTAATATGTTTTGTGGATCTCATCTTCTTTTCTACAAAATACATTAATCATTTTCTCGAGCTTTCAACTTTGCTGGAATGCTCGAGCTGGGAAATAGAACATCAAGACGACAAAACAGCAGGTTTGACATCTAGGTTTTCCATATATCTGCATTTTGAGAATTAAAAGAGCAGTTTGTCTAGAATCAACAATAAGTTTGTCAAAATGCAGTACTGGTCATTGCTTCGAGCCTTCTCCCATGGATTTGTCTTAAGAAAGTCGCTGAATCAATGTTGAGGAACACTCTTTATCGAAGACTTTTGCATAAAGTGCGAAGGATCGAAAAGGATGAGAGCCGTTTAGAACAATATTTAGAATTTAAATACAGAAAGAGCAGACTACAGGAATTAGCGATTTCAGCATTCTTAAATATAGGCCACCAGCTACTTTTTTCTCTATTTAAAGCAAGCAATATCAGATGTCGCGAATCCTGTTTTTTTTTGTCAGCATGCATTCCATTTCTCAAATCGTAAATAATAAAATCGAAAAATTTGGATAAGAATAATTGAATTTTGTAGAGCAGGAATGAGTCCACTTTAGAAACAACATTTGTTCAAAATACAAAAAAGGAGGAAAAAGACGTACAGAAAAGAAATGGAAACCATGTTACATAAGATCTCCCATCTTGAATCCTTGGTATTATTATGATTTGATCTTGATTTTCTTATGCCGTAACAGGTTTTTATAGGAACACTTTATTTTGCCTTACGTTTCGGCTTAACGGCGTCCTCAGAGGCCTCAAAGTGAGTCAATTACCTATCAGGCGATTATATCATCAAACACCTCTGTCACATCACACATTCGACTCCTCCTCAATAATGCGGCTAGGTCAGAGCTGATATGCAACATTTTCAAATGCCCGAGCAAGTACTTTACACAAGCGAGAGAATTGGCGATGGGAGAAAGACTAGCGCCGGTGCTTGCAATTTGCTTTATGAGCAAAATAGAGCAGCCAGGGCTATTTCAATGTCCCTCAATGTACTGCCACTATATTGCATGTCATGTCAACACAATCCGAAATGAATGTTTTAAAATACTCAACAAACAATCACAGTACATTAAACTTATTAGAGAGAAACCACGAGAAGGCTGGCTGCCCTATCTCAATACTCACGGTAACGTTAAATGGTATCGAAAAGAGAGCTGCAAAAACATCATTCTATACGCTAAATCCGCTCAACCAACTGCCGTGGAACGCGCGATTATTCGACATGTAAAGAACGGCAGTCAGTGTTTGTAGCGGTGAAAGTGAGAGACTAGAGACGGCATCTAACATAGTATCCAGTAATGGCTACTTACTGCAATCCAAAGCGAAAACCTATGAACGAAAGCAACGATATCCAAACTAGAATTCTCCTATGTTTGCCATTGATATCCGACAAGTGACTGCCGCAGTTAAACAATGTTTAGCGCAGCCCAGTTAGAAAATGATGTTGTTTTAGTGAACCTCCCACCGCACAACATCATCAGAAAACAGCTTATCGTTTGTATGTGTCGGTTACATAAATAAGTTGTATGATAGGGCTTGCATCTCGCAAAACTGTGTAGTTTGTTATAATGGAAA